TTTATTTCAGCAGTAAATGGTAAATGGGACTATAGTATAGTCACTATAGTCACTATACCCATCTAAATGCCAAACTTTTCCAAGTCGAATCAATTCAAAACCTAAGTTTTAGTGGCTATTACAAAACGGCCAAGAAATCGGATAACCCTTTTAACCTTTTTCCTTTACCGAACCAATCGACTTATTAACGGCCTTTATACCAATAAAAGTCACAGTTCATTTCCTTGGTACATCTCTCGTTTTGGTCGGACTGTCAAAGCAGATTCTCCAGCTTGCGGCTATTTGTTCTAGTCTCCTCCCGCACACTCCCGGTGCGATTCGTTACTACGTCGACCGCCGCCCACAGTCATATTTTCATGTCCACAAGGGCATTGCGTAAACATCAAAAAATTTTTTGTTTATTAAAGTACAATTTTCGTGCTTTCAAAAACTGGCCGAAAGCAGATACAGTTTCTTTAGCATTTCATCCGCCTCAGCCGTGGTCATGGAAAAACTTGCATCATTTCCGACTCAAAAAGTCTAGCTGTCAGTCCGGGCATTTCCTTATTCCTGTCGCACTTCGATCACATCCGACATATATGTTCAACATCTAAGTCGGATGTGATCGTGGTGCGATATGACGCCAGGCAGATAGGCTGGATTAGAGCCAGTGATGATTATCAGCGGAAGTAGCGCAATGTTGGCCGAAACCCAAAGCGAAATCGTGGCGAAGACTATCTCTCTTTTCCGGTGCCAACTATCCTTGGACCGTAAAATTACAGTATTTAGTGAGGTCTGCTCCCCTTCTTCAGAGCCATTCCTTCGCGAAACGAACTTTGTCTACTATGGGAATAAGGAAATGCGCGGAGTGTCAGCTGGACTCTTTGAGACGGGAATGATCCAAGTATTTGCAATTACCACGACTGAGGGTGACGAAATGCTGAAGAAACTGTTCCTGCTTTCGTCTAGTTACTAAAGGGTATTTTGACACGTTTCTGTCAATGACATCCTCAAGGTGAACACAATTTGATGCATCCTTCTGGACATCAAGGCTTTATCTGCTCCTTGGCTATCTCTCGTCTAAGATCAATGACTCTTGGTTTCGTGGACGTTAGCTTGTCATTATTCTCATTGACTAGAATTGGCATTTGATGGGGATGGTGTCAGAAGTTGCGGTAATTTACGACTTTAGTGTCATTACCGATGGCAGCAGGTTTTGGCACCGACCTGCGTTCCATCGGCTCCTGTTTTACCTTGTAATTATTGGGTAATCGGTGGGTCTTGACTACCCTAGATGATTTTGGGGTGGCATTGGATTCTTGTCAACGATCACTTGCGTGGGCTTAAAGTTCTCCTGGATGTTAAAATTCAACACGACACCTTAAAACAAAACTTGTCCGGCGACGGTTTAGTAGTCGGGGCACTAAAACAGTTTAAGAAAATTAAATTATTTATCGTATTCGCTACAGATGGCTTACCAGGACAAAAAAGTTCAGAGTAGGTGTCTGTTTGTAGGCGTTTCTGTTAACATTACGGCCCTAAGTGGAAGAAAATGCACTTGTTATTAATACGGAAAACATTACATGTAGTTGCTCAGCTTTAAGTGAAATTATATGTACCGGTCCTACCTGTCTTCATTGCTGCTTCCTAATGTAGAAAAAATATGCTAATGAATTGTACGACGTCAAATTTTTCAACAACTCTATCAGTGTGGCTGCATTAGCAATTGTCATTTAATACTTGCTGGAAACCAGAGTTGACACCTTTTTTTCTTTAAAATGCCATGGCAGTTCTATTACATTTTAGTATTACCAGTAATATAATTAACTTTAGAATCAATTTTGATATCATATAGGCTCGTTCCCTCATTTGCTGAAATAATTTTTTCAATATTTAACAGTTAAGAAACTTAACAGCTTGGGAAATACCCAGATTGTTTTCTTTAGTTTGGTTCTAGCTTTAGGTATTTACTTTATTTCTTTTAATATTGCTTTAAGTTCACTCTTACTTTTATTTCTCGATCAATTATACCCGTTACTTTAAGTGTAAGGAAGCGTTGTCGAACCTAAGAAGTATATATGGGCCATTCTTTTACAAGCCAAACACATTCCTCTCGCATTCCCTTCAGCTGAGTAACGAGTATCTTATAGTCGAGGTCATCGACTATTGCGTTTTCTCTTGTATCCATTTTTTAAGATATCAAGTTGTTTCTAACATCTCTGATTTCTTCTATGAACGCACGTTGCAGCAAGTAGTGCGTGATTATTGCAATACCCATCTGCATGCCAAAATTGTTAAAATTGGACCGTTCATAAAAAAGTTTTAGGCATATAAAATTTGCAATCTCGGAAACAGCCGATATGCCGCATGCACATCTCCATCTCCCTCGCACTTCCCTTAGCTGAGTAACCAGTATTTAATAGTCGAGGCCGTCGACTATAGCGTTCTTGTTTGTTTAGCTGAGAAATGGGTATCTGATAGAAGTGACACGCGACTTTAGCCTTTCTTCTTGTTATACCCGTTTCTCGTAGAGTAAAAGGGTATACTAGATTCGTCGAAAAGTATGTAACAGGCAGAAGGAAGCGTTTCCGACCCCATAAAGTATTTATATTCTTGATCAGGATCACTAGCCGAGTCGATCTAGCCATGTCCGCCTGTCTGTCTGTCCGGATGATGAAATGTATGGTTCTCATCAATACCTATCGATTGACCCAAAAAAAAAAGTTTGCCACGCCCACTTTAACGCCCACAAACCGCTCAAACCTGTGACGCCCACAATTTTCATGCTAGATACAAAATTTTAACTGAAATGTATCGGTCTCGTCAATACCTATCGGTTGATCTTAAAAAAATTTCGCACACGCCCCCTCTAATGCCCATAACACTTATATCTGTCTACCGCCGGTAGGTGGCGCATTTTAATCTCGCTTTGCTGCTTGCATATCTCCATTTAGCTGAGTAACGGGTATCTGATAGTCGAGGTACTCGACTATAGCGTTCTCCCTTGTTATACCCGTTACTCGTAGAGTAAAAGGGTATACTAGATTCGTCGGAAAGTATGTAACAGGCAGAAGGAAGCGTTTCCGACCCCATAAAGTATATATATTCTTGATCAGGATCACTAGCCGAGTCGATCTAGCCATGTCCGTCTGTCCGTCTGTCCGTCTGTCTGTCCGTCCGGATGAACGCAGAGATCTCGGAAAGTATGGGAGCTAGGCTATTGAGATTTGGCGTGCAGATTCCTGAGCTTCTTACGCAGCGCAAGTTTGTTTCAGCAATGTGCCACGCCCACTCTTACGCCCACAAACCGCCTAAAACTGTGGCTCCTACAGTTTTGATGCTAGAATAAAAATGTTAACATAAGTGTATTCTTCTCATTAATACCTATCGAGTGACCCGAAAAAAAAATGCCACGCCCACTCTAACGCCCACAAACCGCCCAAACCTGTGACGGCCACAGTTTTCATGCTAGATAAAAAATTTTAACTGAAATGTATTGGTCTCGTCAATACCTATCGATTGATCCAAAAAAAATTTTGCCACGCCCACTCTAACGCCCATAGCGCTTAAATCTGTCTACCGCCGGTAGGTGGCGCATTTTAATCTCGCTTTGCTGCTTGCAGATCTCCATTTAGCTGAGTAACGGGTATCCGATAGTCGAGGTACTCGACTATAGCGTTCTCCCTTGTTCTTGTTTAAATTTGATCGCTAGGAATTTCACTGAACAACATTGACTTCTGCAGTCATATGCGTACCGAATAATTTTTATGGAGGCTTCCTTTGAACTTATCCTTTTTTTCTAGTTCGTTACTTTAGCAGTTTCATACTTTGAAGGTAATCAAAACCTCATACTTTGGGCCCTAACGCTTTAAGGCAATATGAGCCCTTTCGTAAATATGGATGCATCACACTTATCCTAGCTGTATACTAGACCCTTGACCCTTCGGATGATGATTGCTCTGATTTTCAATACGCTTGTTGAGCACCCAGTTTATCCCGGGCAACAATATAAAATGCATATCAAGTTCAAATTGAATATCCTCATTTGACGCATGAAACATCCAGAGAAAACACTAACAAAAGCACGCTGAACAGGAACAATGTATGCAATCCTTGTTTATGGCAAGTAAAATACACCTTTGTGTGTTGCCTATAAAAAATGCAGCAAAGGAGTGCAAATTCTGAGGGAGGGCCGAAGGAAAGGCGTAAACGGTGGGTTGGAAGAGGGATGCAGGAGAGGAATCCTTCTCCGTGCTTGTGCTCTGTGTCCATGTCCTGGCATTAAGCAGTAAAAAATGCAGAAATGAAAAAAGGTCGAGGCGGAGGAACCAGAAGGTAGTCAATAGTGGCAATAGTTCTAAGGTAGTACAAGAAACACGGGGAAAAGAGGGCAGACGAGCGGCAACAAGCCACCACATTATGACAACAATAAAACGGAGAACAGCAATAAGGAATAAAAAAACATTATAACAAGGCTGACGTACGGCAAGGGGAGACCCTTAAGTTTCAGGACTTCGTCATCATTTTGTGTATAGGAAATAATTAAAAAAGGATCAGTTTTAAACCAAGCTGGAGCGCATTTTTATTTTATTACTCATATATAACACTAAATAAACACAACTATACTTTTTTTTTAAGAATAATATGGGTTATAATTTAATAAGATTAACAAAACTCCATTAAACAAACAATTAGGACATAGGATATTCTTACCTTTTCATCAGAAATTGTAAATATATAGCATATTATCTTAAGTACTGGTCTTGATAAATACTGGTGTTGATAATTGCACTTAAAAACTGTTCAAAAATGGTTTATTAGGTTACCTATCTATTTAAATAAAATAATTAAATGGTTGAAATATTTTTGGTAGATGGTAGATGGTAGATATTTTACAAAATGTTTGACTGTTTTCTGAGACTTCTTAAACAAGTCGACTAAATCCACTTCAGCGCTTCGATTGCACCTAACAAGTAACGTTAATTTTCAAACGAACCTCGCCATAACCGATGCTTATGAGCTTACTGCACCAACTTGGTATTACCGGCACTGCCGACAAACAAAGGATACACCGCCAACATATCCTGCCTCCTCTCCGCCTCCGTCGCTGCCACGCCTTTAGGATCTTGGCTTTCTACCGATTTTCTGGTTGGCCAACAACAGCAACAACGAATCATGCAACGAACGAGGCAGCCACAGAGAGATGAAAAGATAAGCAAAGATTGCGAAAATTGTATTTTCCATTGTGAACTGTCGAGGGATGGGGAAAGTGTCTGGGTCTTGGCCAAAGGATGCAAGCGGGAAACAAAAAGAAATACCGAAACCGTTTGCTCCACAAGCCTTCAATAGGTTTCGGGGTGCGAGGGCAACCCTTTTCGGACAACCCTTTGGAAAACGGGAGAGTAGAAAGTGCACAGGAAGAAAGTATGGATTATTATACTACTAAAAACCAGAAATGTTTCAAGAAAGTGCACAGGAAGAAAGTATGGATTATTATACTACTAAAAACCAGAAATGTTTCAAGAAAGTGCACAGGAAGAAAGTATGGATTATTATACTACTAAAAACCAGAAATGTTTCAAGAATATTGGGAATATTGAATAGATGGTGAGTAACTGTCATACCTTATCAAAAAAATTATAATCCCAAAGTACACATGGACTAAATGTCTGAAAGTAACTGAGTTTTTTTTTTACATAGGTTCTACATTTTATTAATACATGCAAATTATAACCATCTCCGACCAAATGTTTAATGATGTGATGGAACTTTTCCGTGTGTAAACTCTTCTCAATTTCGGTTACACGCCAATGCGCGTGTAAGGAGCATGTAAATATGAAAGGCAAACGACGATAGATGCCAAAGTTATGAGCCTGCAATTGTACTTATACGAGTATGGGGAAATAGTCGGCCGAAGGGAAAGTTGGAAAGTGTGGAATGAGGAGGCAATTCGGTGCGGACTGCTGGGCAGCATAAATCAAAATCAAATTTGAGTGCTGTTTAGTCAAGTGGTTGACTTTGGGAGGACGACTGGGGATGGGTGGGGAGCAGCGGAAACACAGACCCAGAAGTGACCAATAAGTGGGTCAGTAGTCAGCACTAAGTGGAATTTCCAACTATTCTGCTGACAACAGAAGGCCTTTCCCCTCCCCGCCCCATTGTCCACCCACATCCATCCATCAGGTCTTATCAAAGGAGCCCTGATTGGTTTTTGCTGAACCGGTCTTAAGACAATTAAAAGCCATCAAAATTCAACAGCTTACAATTAAATCAATGGCGGCGGGTCGAGTGCCCCAACTCAAGTCAAGTCTGATGCTGATGGAAATAAGTTTGGGTTTTGAGTTTTGGGCTTCATCAGACAATGAAGATGGGATCGTGAGTTGTTTGGGAGAGCTAGCAGTCATAAAAGTTTCCTGTTAAGGTACCAAAAAATAAATATGGTATATAAAAATACATCTTAGCTGCCCATGTGGGCTCTTAAATCGAATTAAGAATTGAATATTCTAAATTCATCGTTCTATTTCAATAAGTAGTAGCAGTAACGTTTACGTGTACATCTTAAACTTTGCCAACACTTTAAATCTCAATGAATTTCGACCAAAAACACCGATTTCTTTCTTATCTTCAGACACGTAGAACCCCCATCTCTAGGAATCTTTGGCTGGGATTTGTTTACGCGATGAAAAAATTTGCATTTTATTGGCTTTCGAATCGTTGAAGGGACCTTAACACAGGCCTCCTGTGATAAAAGGCCCAGAGAGCCTGCCAATAGCAAAATGAAACAGTGGGGCGAAGATAGACAAGCAATTTGCATTACAAAGTCAATGAAAAATCACTTAGTGTTCGAATCGCAATCCGAGGTAAATGGTAAATGCGTCCAGAGAAAGCCTCGATAAACAAAGTCAGCCAAACGATTTCGATTAAAATTGCCAGCTAGCCAAGGGGATAAGCCCCAAAGATGAAATATCCCCTTGCATTATTTTGGATCATAAATATAGGGCTTAAGCGGCAGAGGAAAAGCGAAAGTTTTCGTTCACTTTTTATACCCGTTACTCGTAGAGTAAAAGGGTATACTAGATTCGTCGGAAAGTATGTAACAGGCAGAAGGAAGCGTTTCCGACCCCATAAAGTATATATATTCTTGATCAGGATCACTAGCCGAGTCGATCTAGCCATGTCCGTCTGTCCGTCTGTCCGTCTGTCCGTCTGTCCGTCTGTCCGTCTGTCCGTCTGTCCGTCTGTCCGTATGAACGCTGAGATCTCGGAAACTATGAGAGTTACAATACTGGGATTAGGCACGCAGATTCCTGAGATTCCTGCGCAGCGCAAGTTTGTTTCAGTAGAGTGCCACGCCCACTCTAACGCCCACAAACCGCCCAAAACTGTGGCTCCTACAGTTTTGATGCTAGAATAAAAATTTTAACTGAAATGTAATGTTCTCATCAATACCTATCGATTGACCTAAAAAAAAGTTTGCCACGCCCACTTTAACGCCCACAAACCGCAAAAACCTGTGACGCCCACAATTTTCATGCTAGATAAAAAATTGTAACTGAAATGTATTGGTCTCGTCGATACCTATCGATTGATCCAAAAAAAAATTTGCCACGCCCACTCTAACGCCCATAACGCTTAAATCTGTATACCGCCGGTAGGTGGCGCATTTTAATCTCGCTTTGCTGCTTGCATTTCTCCATTTAGCTGAGTAACGGGTATCTGATAGTCGAGGTACTCGACTATAGCGTTCTTCCTTGTTTTTGATTGGACTAGCCGGAACTGATTGCGAGGGACATGGGAAACCTATTTGAATTTCATTTTCGTATGCAAATTTTCAATGGGTTTTTATGCCGTTCGTTTCATTTCGTTTCGTTTGTGAAACGGAAACTAAGCCACACAAATATGCAGGCGAATTGCCTTGGCCTCGGAGCTCGGAGCTTTCGCCTTGACTTTCATGGCGGAAAAACCAGTCCGCAATCCGGCCCACCTCCATCCACCCACTGGGAGTCTTCTGGGTTCTTCCCTTCGGTTTGGTGTACGAAACAATTGAAACAAGTTTGCAATCAGTGCGCAAACTTTTTGCTGGCCAACAGCACACACACTAACATACAGAGAGAAAATATTATTATTAAATTTAAACGCCCCTCAAACTGTGAAAAAATATCTAAAGCACTGCAAAAAACGTGAAAAGGTGATTTCAATTCTGATATACTAACACTGAGCTGAGCGACCGTAAGGGGCTTGAAAAGACCCTTAAATCGATGGAATATTTATTTACAAAATGATTTCCAAGAATTTAATATCTGGTATGGGGAATATATTTTATTGTTGGGGCCCAACCTGTTTCTTTCTGTGCAAAGAACACAGGCGCTTTGGTTCACACAAACAAGACTGAGAGATACAAAAACGCGGCAGCCAATTGTGTGGCTGTCAAGGATGCCGAATAGCCAGCGCCCACTGTTTGGGCCAATATACAGGATCCAGGGTCCTTGGTCCAGAGTTTCCCTGTAAACAAGTTCAGTCGCGCGCCTAAAAGTATGCAACAAAGGAACAAGTGAGAATCGCTAAATGGGTGTAGAGCATCATCGAAATTTCAAAGCGCTCCGCAACATACACTTTCAAAAAGAATACAATCTAGGAACTATCTTACTAATTTAAAAATAAAGTTAGGCACAAGGGAAAAGTATAAGTCTAATTTGGTAAAGTTATTATATTTAAATTTTAATAATAATGCAGGAACCGATCTAATACTCAATAATATATAAAAACGCATTCTGCTATCGCCGTTTTAAGTTTTACAAGTTAATTTACTTTCGTTATAATTATTATAAACGTATTATAAGCAACATAAGCTGTAAGTCTTGACTAACATTGTTCCCTTATTATTTCAGTCCCCAGTAGAGACTTACAATCCGATGCTGCAACCCTATCATATTCCTTGGACTGCATAGACTGCTTATCCTGCTACCTTACTCTCCCCAGAGTTAACACACTTGGGCACCACTCTGTATTCCCTGCTCCACAAAGGCCCCAGTTCCCTTTGTTGGTGAAGGAGGGTGAGCGGCATGATCCAATATCTATAAATCAAAAGGCGTACAAAAACCTCTTTACAATAAGGCTTAATCACAAGCAAGTGGGCCGAGAGCGAAGGAAAAGTTTAAGCAGCAATCAGGAACAACAAACAGAAAAAGGAGCTTGGGAAGAGGATGTAAAGTCGGGGAGGATTACCAATAATGCGCTAGAAAATTGAAACTTAGGTTACTTTAAGTTCCCCTCTTCGGATTGGCCATAGAACCGTCATTGATTGATGCCAGTGAAATGTAATTGAATGTTTCTAATTACGCCTCATTAGGATTACAAATCGAAGGCCCCACTGTTTTCCTCATAAATATTTAGCGAAGTGAAATTGAAAACGAAAATAGGAGCTGCGACAATTGATTCCGGTGCGCATGTGATTGATTGTCTGGTGGCCGTAATGGGAATCCTTCTCAACGACACCATAAATGTCGTCTGATGTGTCACAGTCACACCTCCGCATGACTGGATCCCCAGATTGGGAGGAGATATAGGGGAGACATGGCACGGAGCGGGACGAATCTGATGGGATGCAAAAAGCGGTGGCTCAGAGCCATGAACATGACGTATAAAAGTCGTAACAAAACACTTTGATTGATGATTGAAATGGCATGAACCAGTGATGAGTGCGTGAAAAGTTCGGATCCCTTAAATAAAAGTTTTAATTAATATCATTCCCGCAACAAAATTAAAATTAAAAGGATTATTTTAAATATTTCAAAAACAACATCATTGATTGATATGTTAAATAGCTTTAATTTTTGTAAAAGTTTTTAAATTAGGTATATAGTATAAATTGTACATTGCACTTTTCTAAGAGATATTATGTTGAAATTGGCTACAATATTACATAATTTATTATTTAACAGCACTTACCTTTAACTCGGAGTCGATCCTTCCGATGAAATCCCAGCCGAGTCACGAAACCATCTCCAATCTGACCACAAATCGCTGCCCTCGACCACAAGTCCACGCGGGTATAACCAAAATGGAGTCCAGGGGCCCGCGCCTGATCCCCCGCAAACACGCACAGGTGCACATAAGTTCATGATTCCATAATGTCTGTGACATGCGGCCATCAACTGGCCCTCACTTCTTTGGCCACCCACTCGTCAGCCCCACTCTCCATCCCCAACCACCCACTCTGTCAGTGGATGTGCGGTCAGGCAGTTACAAGGTTTGAGTTTGAGTTAATCCATTGTCCTCGTCCTGTTGGTGATGTCGGGGTTGCCGACTGTTGACGGTGTTTCTGCTGTTGGTGGCTTGTCTTTGAAATGTTTCGGCGGTCACCGGTTCGTTGCTCTGCGGCTGGTTTTTGGTTTTGGGATAAACGCAGGCTTCGACGCCCAGATCACACGCTTTAACTCTCTAGAATTAAAGCGTCATATGCATAGCCCTTAAATCGTTTCCTAACCATTTCATGGTATTATAAATTAGTGCTGCCATTTGTCCTTATTTTCGACAGATCTGTCTGTTTTCTAACGTCGTTATCCGGAAAAAATTGTCCGGAATTTTGTCCTTTTTCGAAAAGATGTGTTCAAGCGTTAGTTTTGCTAGATTTGGCTGTTTGCATAAACTAACAGACAATTAAACCATCTGCCTAACTGTAAGACAGATGGTTTAATGGTAAATGGATGGTTAATTCCTATTTATCTGAGTATTGAATGAGATGAGTAGTCAATGGGATGCAAAGATTTTCGCAATAGCAAAAAGGAAGAGGAAAACATTTTAGAATTAATGAGTCTTTGAATTCCCACCTCTTGTGTTACAAAAATGTACTCCAAAAACTAATTTTTGAGATTCAGTTTCGGACTTGGCATGGTCGTGGAACTACTTTTGACATGTTTCCTTTGCAATAACCTCAAATGCATTTCGTTATGATCAGTTCATCACTGCAGATTTTCAATTCTGCGGCTATATATAGTAGTCGCCATCGCAGACTCTCCTAATGTATTCATATCAACATTTGATATTTATATGGCTTTGTATCATATTGATATGAATTCGTATCACTTTGAAATGAGACAAGTGATATGTGAAAATTGAGGAGACAATGTTAAAGGGGTATTGTTCCGGTTTTTTTTTCAGTGCATGAGTTGAGAATGAATAAATGCATACATTTTTCTGAGTTGCGTGAAATGGGGGAAATTTGTTTTCACGTACTCAAGAATTAATAAAACCCATTGCAATACCTTCCGGTATCGATCATACGGACTAGCCACGTAATCTTCATAGAATCTGAAATGTTTCCTTTTTCCTGTTACGTAACCTACAGGGTAGTATAAGGTTGTAATCGATTATATCCTTCCGGGAGCACTGAGAGTCCCGGAATTCGATAGAACAAGAATACCCCACATATTTTAGTTTCATGAGGAGAGTATTTTGTAGTACCGTATTTGCATGCTTAGTATTTTTTCTTTCTATCGCGTATTTTTGTTTGCTAATTTTAACTCCACAGCTTGTCCAATTCAGAAACTTTTATAAACGCGAAAAAAGCCCGTCCATAAACATTGAATAATTTGGGTGACCCTCTGTAAAAAGTGTATATTATCCTGTTATCTGAGGCTAGTGGCTATCATTTCAAGAAAGAGTCCGATTCCGGTGATCCCAAGGTCAAGCGCCTAAAAAAGAAGGCCGCGAAGCGCAAGATTCGGGAGGAAGAATACTGTCTGTCCGTGCTGCAGCCCTGTGCCCGGAAAAGCTAAAAAGATATTGTCCTGGCGATGGTCCCCCGACGGATCCTCCATTTTCAAGGGTTTCAAAAGATCCAAGATGCGTGAGTTTTTCGTCAAGTGACACGACATGACCTACTGGCACTGCAAGTGGATTCCCGATTGGAAGCTGGCTTTGCACCACTCCCTGATGGTCGCTTACTTCCAGAGAAACTACGACATGGAAAAGCCGCTCCAGTTCGATCACAAGGGCGTAAAGCCCGAGTGGCTCATATCTCAGCGTGTAATCCACCTGATGGCGGAACTGTTTAACTGGTAAAGTGGCGGGAGTTGACCTACAGCGAGTCCACATGGGAGAAGGAAAACGAGGGCATTCCGAGCTTAAAGCGGGCCAGCGACTTCTACCAGAATCTGGAATCCAGCCAGAAGGATCGGGGTAAGGGCAAGCCCACCACTGATGTGAAGAAGAAATAAGAGGATCAGCCGGAAATCGTGCAGGGAACTGGCACGAAGTTGCATCCATTCCAGCTGGAGGGTGTCAACTGGCTCCGCTACAGTTGGGACCAGGGCATCCCCACCATACTGGCCGTTGAGATGTGCCTGGGCAAGACAATTCAGACGGTGACCTTCCTGTACTCCCTGTCCAAGGAAGGTCGCTGCCGCGGACCCTTCCTCATATCCGTACCGCTTTCCACTCTCGTCAACTGGGAGCGCGAACTGGAGCTATGGGCTCCGGACTTCTACTGCATTACCTATGTGGGCTCAAAGGCCTCCAGAGCTGTTATCCGGAGAAACAAGCTGTGCTTCGAGGAGGTAAATACCCAGAAGATGCCGGCCAAGCACATCCAGTTTAAGTTTAACGTGCTGCTGATCAGCTACGAGTTGATCTCCATAGACGCCACCTTTCTTGGCAGCATCAATTGGGCTGCAAGTTTTTCCGTATTCTGAGCAGCTACAGCACCTTCTACAAGCTGCTGCTCACCGGCACACCGCTGCAGAACCATCTCGAGGAACTGTTCCACCTGAGTCATGATCTATCGGTTTGGGAGCCACAACTCGGTGGAGGAGCGCATGACGTAGGTGGCCAAGCACAAGATGATGCTCACCCACCTTGTGGTGCGCCCGGGAGTGAGCGGCAAGCCTGCCAGCTCAACGAAGCAAGAGCTGGAGGATATCGTTCGCTTTGGCACCGAGGATCTCTTCAAGCAGAACGATGAAAAGGAGGCTATCCACTACGATGATGAGGGGGTGGCCAACCTGCTTGACCGCACCCATCGCGGCATTGAGGAGAAGGTATCCTGGTCCAACGAGTATCTTTTGTCGTTCAAGGTGGCGTCCCGCACCAATGTCGAAGGAATTAAGGAGGACGAAGTTGGTTACCAACAGGATACGGAAAACAAGGTCCGGCCTACTGGGACTACAGCAGCAGCAGTAGGATAACGTCGAGCGCAGCTTGAAAAAGGGCAAGCGAATCCGAAAGATGATCAACTATTACAAGTAGGCTGAAAATTCGCTGGAAGACGACACCGAATATATTGGCGAGTGGGTACAATGGGTGGTATAAGTAATAAATATATGTATTAAAAACAAGATCGATTCGATGAATGAATAAGCAATATCAGGAGAAACCAATTTGGTATACATATAATTTCATTGCGATAAGTCCCTAAGCCGCTGACATTTAATATTAATAAAATAACTTTGTTTCGTATAAACTGACAGACTACTAAAGCAAGTTCTGCATTTTAGAATATTTTCTTTAATAGGCAAATGATTAGAAATCAATCCACGTTACTGTTGTTCGATAACCCTAATAAATACTTGTTATCCATAGACATTTGCTTGAAGTCTCATATATAATTATAACGCATTCTACCCCAGAACATATTTAACATTCCCATTGCCATTCTTAATTAATAAAGTGCTTAATAATGTTGTCCTGGAAGAACCAAAGTGGCAGAGGGGAGAAAGTAATAATTAAGACAATAATATTGGCCATATCAAATCAGACACTAGAAACAAGACGAAAAAGCTTAATCGAAATGATTCTGGCCATGAACTCTCACTAAAATGTGTGGCAAAATAATTAAATGTAATTCAATTAAAGGCAGTTTATGCGTAAAATTTTATTAAAGCCTTGCTTTTGAAGGACGAAGAAGAAAAGTCTCAATGCCAGACAAACACAGCAGATCTGCACTGCAACTTAATGCACAGAAAGAAAAATATTCTGTAATGAAGAAAAATTTTTCATACGTAAACTGAGAATGCTTTGGCAAGAATAAAGCTTAAATATTCTTGGATTAAGACCACGAACCCCACCCTAAAAAAGACAAGGATTTTTGATAAACGAAAACCAATTTATTGATAATAAGACATTGTCTGAAGTTCATTTCGTAATATAAAATTATTTTAAGAATAAACCATTATATTTTATTATAAAATTTATTTTTAAGGCAAAGTCAACTAAAAGCAAAAACACCTTTAAAATAAGAAGCTGGTTCTTAAATTTATTTCGTGTTCTTCTGCTCAGTGTACACATAAATGCATGCATGAGTAAGGACATCCTTATGTATATGCGTTCGCAATCAATTTATCATACGCCTGATTTGACCATCAGAGCCCTGGAGCCGGCCATCAAATGGCCCCGAGAAATGTAAAATTTAAATGCAATGTAATTAAAATGAAATAAAGGCAGAAAACTGAATGCACTCACAGGTGGTGACTGCCAGGTGAAAGGGTCCTGCCGATTACTTAGATGCGTTCGGTGACCAGCTCATGGATTTAACCCAGCATATTTAATTATCGCATACAATGGGAAAGTGACCAAGGCAAGTCGTTTTCTAGATAAATTCATTTTGATTACGTTTTCGTAATTATATTTTTGGGCTCGAATCGTTTCCGGAATTGTTGCAATTCTTTGTCAAGCCTTTGGCAGGAAAAGATGCAAGTGAATATTTTATAATTGTAAACCGTTCAAGACTGTAATGTTTATTTAACATTATTCGAGACGGTTTTCAATTACATGCAGATTGGCTTGATAAAAGGGTAATTATTCAAATCCGATAAAAACAAGAAAACACGCTATAGTCGAGGGTCTCGACTATCAGATACCTGTTACTCTGTTTCAAATAAAATAGAGTCCCAGGAAACTTTTAGTACCTCAGGTGCTAGCGCCACGGCACATAGCGGACGGTTGCGGCACTTTTGAACATGCCAGAGACATATCTTTTTAAATAAAATTGAGGTTGCCGAGGTTCTCAGCATTTTGACAAGGAAAAACGATATAAGCGATGACATCGACTGTCAAATACCCGTTACTCAGCTAAGAGAGTGTGAGGGAGATAGCGATATACAAGCAGCTAAGGGGGCTTTGTCTATTTTATTTTGAAAATATTTCTGAAAAATATAATATTTTTCTGACTTGTCAAAAGATTTTTATAGTAAGGAGACTTTATAAGAATCGGGGGACTTTAGTTTGTGAGTGTAGTAATAAATTTCTACAATGCAAAATCAAAAAATATGACTTA